GCAAAGCTTTGCAGAGTTTTAAATTATATAGTTAATATTTTTTCGAATATAAATATTAATTATAGTAGTACGTAACCTACAGGTTACAATGTCATGTGACTACTGCGGCTTGTGTAATGTAGTACGTGACCTTGAGGTCACAGTCTTATAAAAAAATATTAATATATAAAGTCAGTAACTGTTATCAAAATGGTTGGGTGGTTTTTATATTTTTTTGAAAGATTATAATTTTGTATGAAAATATGGATGCTTTTTTTATATTTTTGAAAGATTATAATTTTACATAAAAATATATTTCATGATATTACATGGCTTTTCATGTAAATTATTCAAGTCTTCTTGCTCAACTACCACCTTCATTAATAAAAGCTGGATGGATTCGACTTACAACTCGAAAAAAAAATCTATTATCAAAAAGTGAAGCCAGTAGTATTAGCCCTATTATAGAGGCATTTTTAAAACATGAAGTTGATAGATACCAAAAAAATAAAAAATCTCGATATAATCCTACAAGAATCGAAGATTTGGCACTCAGTGCCATAGAAGTAGAGACAGAGTCTCATTGTATAGTAATACCAGTTTCAAACCCCGAAGAATCTCGAATCTCTAATTCTTCCTCTAATATTGCTCTATTATACTCTGAAGAAGAGGTTAATGCTAGAATCAAAGAAGCTACAGATAATTTACGTCAAGAATTTATTAAATCTACTGAAGAAACCTTAAAAAATATTAAGCAACAGAAAGATATAGAATGCAATCAAATTAAGATAGATATGGCTAATTGGAGTACAAAATTATTCGAACTTTCATTAAAAAAATATATTCGAGATGGTACTATATATAATTTTATTCATGCATTAGAAGAAAAAGATGGTAAATCATATTCTAGACCCGAAGGGGAATCGGAGATTCGGCACTCTGTGCTATCATTGCTTCGCAATAATATATCCTGGAAAAATTGATTCATACATTTTTCCCATATAGAAATATCTCGAAACTCAGCTTCCTCAATGTATTGTATTGTATCTTTACTATATAAAGCCTCTTTAGAATTAATTATTTTTTTTTGAGTGAATTAGAAATTTGAAGCTTTGCTTCCTCATTTTTATTATAAACAGAAAGTGGAATAGTAATAGTCTTTCTATTAGCTGATGCTGTAAACTCACCCTTTACTATAGGTTCCCAGCCAGCTCGATGTTGCCATCTAGTACCAAGAATAAATAATGATATATCATTACCATTATTATCTTTTTCTGTTGGTAAAACTGAAAACTCATCTGAAATTGTTAAGGTATCATTTTCAATACCTATAGTAACAGGTATATCAGAAAAGCTTCCAATAGATTGTTTTTCGCCTACAGCACCTGTTAGTCTATAAATCTTTTTTCTATCTAATTTTAACCCAAAATATTTTATAAAATGGTTTGCGATATTTTCAGAAATATGTGATCCATCTGAACCTGTATCGAGTAATGCATGGGGTATTTCTAAATCATATACTTTACATGAAATAGTAGCATAATTATTGGGTTCTTTTATTTGCAAAAAGTTTATTTTTAATGGGTCAAACCAATTTCGATATAATTGAGCTTCCTGATATTGTTTTATAGCATAATTTAAAGAGGAAGACCTCTCTACCTTCTCGAGCTCGTGAGAAGAACTAGAGCATGCTTGGAATAATGGTTCTAAAATAACTTGATACTTTTTTATTATATTTTCCCAGACCTTGTCTACTTCTTTTTTTGTATAGTTTTTTAAATGATATGAATAATATGAGTCTTTCATTTCAGGAAACAATTTACTAAGATCTGTATATATTTCTGTTAAAACTTCTTTAGGGCATTGGGGAATATATCTTGTTATTATATATTTAACCGATTCTAAAAATATCTGATTTTCATTAATAGCCTTCTTACTAGTTTTTGGCTTATTAGACTTCTTTTTTATAGACGATCTAGAAACCCCACTTTTTTTTTAAAATTAAAGCAATTAGTTTCTTGAGATTCAATCTCGCTATTTTCTTGGTCACTTTCTGATTGGCTAGTTTCTTCTTGATCGTATTCGATTTCATCTTCTGATTGGCTTTGGCTAATATATCCATATTGGGAAATATTATTGATCTGTTTAGCTTTTTTAGATAC